TATCAGTGAGTGGCATATTACTTTTTATTTTAAAGTGACGTTGCGCATATGACGGGTGCAGAAAAATAAAAATTTTGCCGTCCTGACACGATGTCCTATGCCCGGGTACGAAATCTAGCAGTCTCGTGTCACCCGAAACGCGAAAGTCATTCTCGACGACGAGATGCATCACCTCTAAGTTGGCGCAAAAAGATCGCAAGTCCCGAAAATTAATTATTTTCTTTAAACGCGATATCCTATGTCCTATCCTATTTCGTACTTTAAACGCGATATCCTATGCCCCGGCACGAAATATATTGCCGCGCGCCATCTATTGCCGCTCGAGGGGGTTACGAGCCACCACCCGCAATAGATAATTGTCGCGTTGTCGGTATTGCAGTAAGGACCACTTACCTTGCGACGGCGGATCCCACGATGACCGATCGATAATCGTTATGGCGTCGCCGGCGTCATGTGACTCCGTCATGTGGTCCCTCGTTGGATCGGTTGTTGAGTTGCTCCCGCGGAGTAATCCCAATTGGTCACAACTCACTTAACACTTCACAATAGAACATGCACTGCCACATATATCGCATTGTATGCGATATCACACACTTCATGTTACACACAGTAAGCCGCATCGGCGACTTAACACTCGCGACGGACGAAATTCACTCACGCGACACACGGAATAATCGGTCGACAATTAACGCGCGTTGTAGACCGGACACTCGCGACACTCCCGACACTCCCGTTCGCACCGCACTCTCGACTTTTTCGGCGGTTTGAGGCACGCGAGACGCGACAACTGAACTTCCGAGTAGCCGCGGAGCGGCCGCGATTCGCGAGTATGGGTCACTCACGACGACCGAGACTTCCCGGCACGCATCTCCCGGCGGCTGCTGGAACGCCACAAACGAGCTTACGAACGCGCCACTCACTCACGACACCCCGGACACGGGGCTCGCCCTCTCGGCGAGCCGAAATCGACGGAAACGCGGAGCGGATTCTTGCGGCCGACCGACGTTTTCTCCGCGTCCGACAACTGTACGTTAACTAGATTCGCAACGGTTGCAACTTTCAAACGTGAAAACAGCGGCCAATCAGGCTGCGAGCTTTCAAGCATCGATCACAGTATAACCAGAGAGAAACCTGAGAGCGGCCATTGTGCATTGGCGGCCATCCCGGCGTTTTGCCTGTTACCGGCGTGGCCGTTCCACAGATATTTTTCTCTCACGGCTTCCTAGGGAACTTCGGGTGATAAGTTTCGCTGTTGGAGTCATGGGTGTTCTTATCTAACGACCAATCAGTACGCTCAACGTACAGCTTGTTGGCTTACGATCCGCTCGTGATGCGCTTCGCGCAGTCGGAATTGGTCGGAGTGGTGCGATGCAGCCCGATATAACCTCGTAATAATTGCGAAGAGGCGTTCGCTATGTCAGAGAAACGAATTAAAAATGATACTGTGCCTGTAATTTTCACCGTCGTCGATATTCTGCACCTCACGTCTCTGGGCATTTGCAGATGTGAGATGAATTTGGCGTCGCCGTAATATTTATCGATGCGTCTAATTTATGTTTACGCCACAGCGTCGGTGTTTTCTTGGCAGCAAGTACCGCCGTACCGCAACGTTCTATTTATTTGCAGGAAGTTGTGGAAGTTTAGCAGCAAGCGTATTTACGAAGCTAAGCTTTATCCACTGTTGTTTGTGGGTCAACTTTCAAGATGAGCGAGAATGAATCCATGTACGGGACAACCTTGTCTCAAGAGTCGATCAAAGTGATAGCGGAGAGCATCGGCGTCGGCAACTTCCCAGATGAGGCTGCAAAGGATCTCGCGGAGGATGTCAGTTACAGACTGAAGGAAATTATTCAGGTTAGTCAATCAATTCTATCGCGCGGCGAATTTCCATTGCGGCAGGATTGATTGCAAATTTATCAATGATTGTACCTTTAATTCCGCCAGTACTCGCCACAATTTTCGACACGACTGGCCTGAATTTATTATTGGGAATTACAAATTATTCATTTAGGCCAGTTGTGTCGAAGATTGTCCACTTATTGGTCCACTTTATTCACTTCACTTTTGGTGAATTGCCATGCGCGACGACACATTGAATGCCAAAATATGTGTACACAGCATTTTTAACTTTATTAGGTGGTGTAAAAATGTTGTGTATTTTTAAAACGATGATAATATAATCCTTTCTTTTTCTTACAGGATGCTGCAAAATTCATGAGGCATGGAAAACGTCAACGAATGACTGCGCACGACATAGATCATGCGCTGAAGATTAAGAACATTGAGCCAACGTATGGCTTTTTCGCCAAGGACTACATACCATTCCGCTTTGCGTCAGGCGGCGGTAGGGAATTGCATTTTGTGGAGGAGAAGGAGATAGATCTTAACGAGGTTGTAGCTACGGCTGGCGGACAGTCGTGGCCGAAGCTACCACTGGAAATTACGTTACGAGCCCACTGGTTGTGCATCGATGGAGTACAGCCCACCATACCGGAGAATCCACCGCCAGTGTCTAAAGGTTTTACTCGTTTCCTACGGGATGCAATTATAACAAATTTTCCCTCGTAATTTCTAATATTATTAAAGAAAAATTTGGAAAGATGTTTCATAGAATTTAGATATTTCGCAAGCACTTGTAATTTTCAATTGTTACTGTGAACGTTTAACAGACGCCCAGAAACTAGAGAGTGTTGATCCGACGACCAAGCTCTCGAGCAAGAATCAGAACATCGGCGTCGGCAAACCGGGCGGCGGTGGCAAGAGCCAGAAGCTGCGGAACGTCGAGACTGTTCACGTGAAGCAGCTCGCGACGCACGAGCTCAGCGTGGAACAGCAATTGTACTACAAAGAAATAACCGAGGCTTGCGTCGGATCCGACGAAGCTCGTAGAGCCGAGGCTCTTCAGTCACTCTCGGCGGATCCCGGTCTGCACGAGATGCTGGCGCGTATGTGCACCTTCATCGCGGAGGGTGTGCGGGTCAACGTAGTTCAGAATCATCTCGCGCTGCTCATCTACCTCATGCGGATGGTCAAGGCCTTGCTTGATAACCCGAGCCTTTACCTGGAGAAATACGTAAGATGTTTTATCTCTTTCAAGTGTGTTGATAAACTCGATGCGTTAGTTTCATTTTCATGTAACGGAATATTTCAATTTTCAGCTCCACGAATTGATACCGTCAGTTGCGACCTGTATAGTTTCTCGACAGTTGTGCATGAGACCGGACGTGGACAATCATTGGGCGTTGCGCGATTTTGCTTCCCGACTGATGGCGCAGATATGTAAAAATTTTAACACCTCCACGAATAATGTGCAAACTAGAGTCACTCGGATGTTCAGTCAAGCATTGGCGAAAAATACTCAGGTATTAGCTATGTAAATAATATGGAAACGTATCAAAGGACGAGAAGAAATAATTTCAGAAGAGCACAGATTAATTTTGCTATCGGCTCAACCTATAACTCAAATAAAATGCTTGATGTTAAGCAAGATTGTTTATTTCTCGTAGACACCATTGGCATCTCTATATGGGGCGATCGAAGGACTCTGTGAACTAGGACCTGAAGTGATCAAAGCTCTGGTTATCCCTAAAATCAAGTCTATCTCTGAGCGTATCGAGTCGTGCATCGAGGGTCAAGGGCTATCCAGCGTAGATAAAAATGGAGCAGGACACATCAAAACTCTGCTTGTGGTAAAATCAGTTCTATAAATTATTCGACATATCCAAGTGAACGAAACATGGATATATTTCTCGAAACGGATTACTATTCATCTCGTACTCCTTTAATCTGTCTTCAACTTTTCAATCAACCTTATACAATTATGGTACATATGGGATGAGGATTGAAATTGAACTCGAGATGGCTAACTACAAGTCGACTGTTTTCTAAAGCTATGCGTCAATATCCAAGAACATCAATCTTTTTCGTTTAAGAAAAAGTAATCCGAGAGTTTTTGAAAGATTAATTTAGTCTTATATCTTTCTGCAATTCAAATCGTTTTACTATACATGTACAAAAATATATGTAGCACGTCTGTTCTTCCATAGAAAATAAGTGTATCTAGTGCCTTTTAATTGTATTTAATATTCTCTTATGTTGCGCATAGTAAAGATTTGTGAAAATGTTTCTAGAAATCAGTCGCTCCAGTTTTGAAAACAATACGATCGCCACCAGATTACGTAGAGGAGTACAAACAGGATTATGGATATATAGGACCTGCATTGTGCGCGGCAGTTGCAAAGGCTCGCACGCAACCGGCCGCTTTAACAACCACAGCTACAACTACGGCACTCACCACGAATCAGCAACAAGGTTCTAACTGCACGGGAAAGACAGTCGTGCAGACAGGTGAGTGAATCGTCACTGACATCATTTGGCGGTGATGTGCGTATTATGTATAATTGTACGTTATGTTGTAGTAACCAGTTCGAGTCCAGGTCAGCAACCCGGCCGCACATTTATGCTTGGCACAAGCAGAACTGCTACCGGAACTTCCGCCACCGGCGGACAGAAATTTGTTATCTTGCAGTCGCGCTCACAAACACCTACTATTTCCAACATAAATACTACTGCTATCAATACCAGTACTATCCAACAACAGCAGCAACAACAGCCGCAGCAGCAGCAGCAGGCACAAGCACAAATACAACAACCACAGCAACTGCAACAGCAGCAGCCACAGCCGCAGCTGCAACCACAGCCGCAACCACAGCCGCAACCGCAACCGCAGCCACAGCTACAGCCACAGCCACAGCCACAGCAGCAGCAGCAGCAGCAGCAGCAACAAATCAAATTGGCGCAGACTAATGTCGCCCAACAGAAGACACATGTACAAAGTTCTACACCGAAATTAGTCGTAGTGTGTATGCCCACCAGTAGTCACACTAATACATCAGTTACGCAGGTATATTCTCTTAAATTTTTTCATCAGAATATGTTTTGGTTTGACAAGTCACGGAAATATTTTGTGTTAAAAAATGTTATTTCTTTTCAGCAAGCAAATCTTACGGCAAAAACGCAAAGTGTCTTTGTTACGCAGCAGAGTGTCGAAAGATCACTCAGTCCAGAAGAGGAACAGCCGTTTCAGTGAAAGTATATATAAGAAAGAGACGAAAATAGAACTTCCAGATCCTTCCGTATACAGTTAAAATATTCTTTAGAGAGTAAGACAAAGTATTTCTAAATAAAAATAAACTTTTACGAAGATATTAAAGCTTTGTACGTTTTTAATCTTTAAATCTAACGAATGTTCTTTTTATTTATTCAGTTGTGAATTTTTTTGTCTATTTGTTATATAGTATTTTCATATCTATGTATAACAAATGTTTCCTATTAAGGAAAATATAAAAACAGAAGAACCATGTTTAGCAGTTTATATTATTAAAAATACTTTTATATGTATATTAAATAAGATTTGCTCTATTACATCTATACTTACAAATTGATTTATTATATTGTACGTTGTGTAACTAAATACACAGAAATTCAATTATTTCCTACTTTTTGTCAAGACTACTGGCGATTGCTTTTGCTTCGTCGGGTCAAATTTAAATGTCTTCACCAAGGGACCTTTACCGGCGCTATTAAACTGTATTATATCTTCTTGTTCTCTAGCAGATAACTGTTTCGCTATCTTCATGTTTGTATAATCTGAAACAAGAATAATCTAGATAATTTAATATATTTTTATCAAATGTATATATACATATATGTATATATAATATTCCCTTTATACATATTATTTGCACATGCAATTTTTAAGCATTAGTATATGCATTATATATTAGCAGACCTTTATAGAACATTGATTGTTCTCTAATATTAGTATTATGTGATATATCATGATATAGCAGTATGCAAAACTTACTTTCTTTGAATTCTTGAATGAAAGTTTTCTTGCTCTTGACTGCTGACATATTGACTTTCATGTCGGGCATCTTGAGAGCTTTTTTCACATATGGGATTCTTAGGAGACCAGCTTGTCCCAGAGAAATGACGTTTGTTGCCACCCAATATGTTAAAATAGTCTAAATACGGCGAAATGCATTAAAGAAAATTTAAAATGTATTTTTAAATAAGGTATACATGTAAAATAGTGGCTTTCAAGCTAAAATAGTTATTGTTTGTCTTCTCATTTATTCTTCTTGTAGAAGCAATCGATATTATTTTATACTTACGCCAGGGAAGTGTATCATGAATGGCAACACGACGAATGGTACAGCTCGTATAACGTATCGCATCATGCCCATCGTGTGGACGTTAGCGCCATCCGTACCGAGCTCGATTGTGATAAACATTGTCACGCTGGTAACTATTGGCATTATATAATAAGGATCATACATCGTGAGATCCTTTACCCACCAAAAGCCGCCATCTTTCAAGCTCTCCACAGGCAAGTTTGCCATCTTTCTCAGCGCCAAAAAGCAGGACATAAACACTGGTGCCTGGAACATTGTGATTGCAATAAGCAAATGGATTCTTTTACATCACCTTTTTGTGCGCGACCACGAACGGGTGGGATTTACCTACCTGGACAACCATTGGCAACATGTTAGTTAGAGGACTAATTTTGTTTTTCTTCATGAAAGCCACCATCTCCGAAACAGCCCGTGCACCTGTTCAAAAGAGAACGGATTATTTTCCGTAAATTATAGCGGGTTTAGTGAACGCGGTTTTCGCCAATGCAAACCCTTCTAACGTACTTTCTAACTGATCGCCGGCATTCCTGGCTTCCGTTATTCTCGTTTGCAACTCTTGTATTTTTGGCATGTTATTTGTAAAGTGAACCATATTCCTTCGCGATTTTATCACCATGGGAAATATCAGAGTCCTCACACAAATAGTAACTGAAACAAAGCGATTGGACCCGCGTTAATAAACCACGTTACAACTTTTACTGAATCGATATCTTACGATAAAGGAAAGAGTACCCGTGACAATCGCCAACCACCAGGGCATGTCGAAACTTATGTGCAGATATTCTAAGAACTGCTGTATTATCCCTGGTGGATACCAACTGCCCAGTCCTAGGCTCTCAAACGTTGGCTCTCCATTAGGATGCACTTTCACGATATTTTCCATCAATTCCTGTAACGGCGTGGGTGGATCTACGTACATAACAGATTTACAAATAAGTTTCGCAAGATAATTTCTGTAAATTTAACTTTCGTTTCTCATATTGTAATACGAAGCTTTTATAAAAGAAACTGATTACTTGGAGAACAAGCTTACCAATTATTATATTGTTCATAATTAATGATGCCAAATAATTTACTTATTACAACAAAATTTTTTTCTCGATACTTGTTACAGTAACGTTTCCATAAAAAGGTCAAGGAAATATTAGTTTTAGAAAATGTTTCCACGTAAACCTGGTATTTCATCGTATGGACTGCTCTGCAGCGGTGTCTCTCCGTTCGACTGCACTTTCACAACATTTTCCAACATTTCCTGCACCGGCGTGGATGCCTCTACATATAAAAATCAGAAATTATCAAATAAGTTTCACGAAATAGTTTCTATAATGTAAACTTTCATTTCTCATACTGTAATTACAATAGCATAAGGTTTCATAAATAAAAGAAATTATGCTTATTTAGATAATAATTAATAGAGGAGTTCTCTATTATGAGATAAGCTTCTAATATGAGATAGCAGGTTTCAACATCAAAATTTAATCACAAATCATTATTCACAACAATTACACGATCTAACGATGAATTTTCTACTAAACAGATTTCACTCCAAAGGCAATAAATTCACGATGAAACCAATAAATGATGTCTATTAATTTAACAAGAACTTTTGCATTTAGCTAAAAGCTTATCCCATAATAAGGAACCTTCCTCTGTACAATAACGTTAATAATAATCTATTGTAGCTGGACATTTCTTCTCAGTAACGTGTCCATAGAAAGATGTAGAAATATGAGTTTCAGAAAAAGTTTCTACAGAAACCTGGTGTTTCACTGTGTGGGCCACTTTGCGGCGGTGTTTCGTCCGTGCTGGCATAACGGATTGAAGAGACTCCTGTAACTCTGCAATTCCTATGTAGATCCAACAAAATGTTGCTTCTAAGAGTCCTCTTTCCTTGAGCGATCACATGAATACGTCTGTATGTGACAATTTCCTAAAAGAGAGTGCGCTTCCTTGAACGAGACGTGAAAAATAATCGGGTGTCTCCAAACAAAACTCTTGTATAGGAAAAATAAAGATCAGATACAAAAACGAAGAGAGAAACATAGAAGTTAAAGTGGGAAAGTACAGAATTCCTCTACATGGCGCAATAAAATGGATATTAGCACAAAATTGTTGAGAAGCGGCGCGCATTTATTATTTTTTTAGAATTTCTACAACTTGGACATCCAGTTAAGGACTCGTTTCCCTTCCTTTACGACACGAACTCGTCGGCTTCACATTTTTCGCCAAGTGAAAACCTAACCTAACCTAACCTCCGAAAAGCCGCTAAAAGAAATTTACCTTCGAGATCACGTTTGATTTCAGCAGCGCCTGCCGGCAAACGGTCGTGGTCACCCGCATAAACATTGCTACGTCCCTCGATTAAACCGCCGAGACAATTTTCGATGAATTTACGCGAGAATCTCGCACAAACGTGGGACGAAATTCGGCACTAACCAAAAACGGAGCAAACTTCGCGATATTACGTGCGAGTGTGTGTGACAGTGTGAGTGTATCATCATGTAACGCACATGTATAGATTATAGCACGTGAAAGCCGCGCTATGGCCGCGCTACACCTCGGGTGCGTTCGAGAGCCGCTTTAGCGCAGATAGCGAGCTTCCGAACGCACCCATTATGGCAGACAGGGACTCGATTCTTGAATTCATTCGCGATAGAGAAACGTGCGCGAGTAGCCAATCAACTTGCAACTTTTCTGTAACATCAGAATATTCGCGTACGTGTCTTAAGCCTATCACACAATGCCAGGCAACAGGCAATAGGAATAGAGAATAGAATTTTTGACGCGTTGGATTCGTCGGAAATTTTCATCCAACCAATCCAACGCGTCAGAAATTCTATTCCCTGGGGCTTGATTCTTGAATTTATTCGAAGGAGAAACGTATGCGAAAATTCTGGTCTCACAGAAAAGTTGCAAGCTGATTGGCTATTCGCGTGACTTTAACCAATCGACTTTCAACTTTTCTGTTAGAGCAGAATGTTCGTATACGTTTCTTCCTCGAATGATTTCGAGAATCGGGCCTCTGTTCCTATTGCCTGTGCTTTCCTATTGTGTGTTAGGCTTTAATCGAATGAATTCAAGAGCCGAGCCCCAAAAACCTGAGAGCGGCCGTCAAACTCCGCGATAAATGCACTCCCTAAGAAAGCTTCGGTCGCCTGTTTTACCGACAGAAACACAATTTTTGCGCACTCGAATATCTTTTTATTGGCTTCACAGAATTGAAAATCTTCTCCCCGGGAATAAAGTACACACGCAAACACACTCCAGCACTACACTAAACACAGCATACGAAGTTAAAGTTTTACATCTTTCTTATGTGTTGCGTGGCGAGCGAATTTTAACCATTGACTTTTACACTTAGATTATTTTCTTTTACTCTGTTTCTTTTCTATTTATACACTGAGGATGGTCTAAAGAAAGACCGACACTCGCGCAGAGCGAACGACACTTTCGAGAGACGCAGCTACGCGACGGCGACTAGCCAGCGCCGAGGCACGGGGTCGATTCCGTGTTTTACATCGTAGTGAAAATGCTAAAAGTAAATGACTTGATCTCTTTCTAACCGTTCCTTCCCTTCGAAAGAAACAAAGCCGCTCACTTTTAGCATTTTCACTGTATTGTAAGATACAGAATTGATCCCCAGAACGCGGAATAATAGCCCGTTCACTTGTGAAAATCAAAAACAAGTACGGCGCTTCTTTTTCTCTCTCTCTCTCCCTCGATGTTCGTACGTTAAAAGTTTTTTTGTTGTTTTTGTCAGACTCGCGTCGCTCGCCGCTTAGTTTTTACGTCGCGCCGCCGCGGCCGCGGCCGCTACGCGCCGTAGGTCACATTGTGTCGCATTACAGACATTACAGTTCGAGCCGCCGGTACGTACGCCACGGGGCGATGTGCGCGATCGAGCCCGTCGATGTGCCGCGGGATCGTCTTCGTTTCCACGCACAGAGAGACTTTGCTGTTTCGCGCGTGACGCGGGACACCAATCGCCGTCTACCGATAGCAGCGTTCGCTGTGGCGTAAATTCGAGTAGAAAACAGCCGCGAGTGTGCAGATTGCAGGCCCCTAAAGCCTATCACACAATAGGAAAGCACAGGCAATAGGAACAGGGAATAGAATTTCTGACGCGTTGGATTGGTTGGAAGAAAATTTCCGACGAATCCAACGCGTCAAAAATTCTATTCTCTATTCCTATTGCCTGTTGCCTGGCATTGTGTGATAGGCTTAAGCCTCGTGTCCACGACACGGTCTGTTCGGGTCGCATGCTCCAACATGCTCCGGCTCGCCCCAACGACCAATGCCGTCGCTCAAATCGTAAAAATGACCGTATTTGTCGCTGGGGCAAGCTGGAGCGTGTTGGGGCGTGCAATCCGAACTAACCTGAGGCTTCCCGAGACACGTCGCGCGCGAGCGAATGTCGACAGTCGAAGTGTTATTCAAATCGCGCCGTCGACTCGACTCGCGTGGTGTCGCGCGTCGCTCATTGTGCGTCGCGTCGCCGAGGTCGGAGGACGTGTTCCGCGCGTCTCATTATCGTACGTGCCGTCGACGCGAGTGCCACGGGACGAGATGTGCGCGATCGTTTCCCCGCGCGACTGAGCGACGCTACGAGCTCTTCAATTCCGCGGATACCGCGTCGTTTCTCGAAGCACATGACAGTTCGCCGAATCGCCGTTCACGCTCGCTGTTCCCTCGACGCGCACGTAAGTAGAGGAAAGCCGCGACGGTGCCGTTTGTTAGGCTGATGACAGAGAACAATCCGTAAACGCTTAAGACTGTCTCAGTCGTAGACGTAGGGCAAAGCAGAGAGAAACGTAAGTCGTATACAATAGCCTTTCACGACTTACGTTTCTCTCTGCCTTTCCCTACGTCTACGACTGAGACAGTCTTAAGCATTTACGGATTGTTCTCTGCCATCAGCCTTAGTCAATGTGAGCATTTCTGTCTGAGAAATATCGCGCGACCGCGATATCAAAGTGTCGTTCGCATCGCGTCGTCGACTCGACTCGCGTAGTATCGTGATCCGGCGCCATGTTGGTTTAGCGGAGGAGCTACACGCAGCGGGCTGGTGGGCTCCCGTGTCGGCGGCGGTCGTCGCGACGCGTTTCACAGCGCGCAGTAAGTTTGACATTGTCGAGTCGAGCAACAGTCGCGCGACGTAGCCCCGGCCCTCGCGCGTCGCGGCGATCCACCGAGACGTCTGAATCCCTCGCGGGAAATCTCCGGTCGGGATCTCTCGGCGACGCGACGGCGCCGTCGTGTCCTCGCGCGCGCGCCGCGGACATACCGAGCTCCCGTTTTCAGTTCGCGCGATATCTCCCCGCGCGTGCAGAAATATCTGAGTTTTCCGCGCGAGACTGTGCGCGGCGAGAGAAACGCTCGCGCGAGATCGCCCTCCGCGCTCGCTCCCTTCTCTCGCGAGACGCGTGAAGTTAGCCCCGCGTATCTCGACTCGTTTCCCGCGCGCGATCGCGTCTCTCTCTCTCTCGTTCTCGTTGCGGTAGAGTCCGCGTCGATTAACAACGCCGGGAGTGCCGTGACGCGCTTTACTTCGATAATTAGTGCGCGCGCGAACGTAATTAACTTGTCTTTCGCGAGTGTTCCGCGAGTGTCACCCTGTGTCAAGGCGAGATGCCGGGATCCGAGAGGAGGCGGCGGCCTGGGAGGCATCGGGCAACGGCGAAGCAACCCTCTGGTGAGTACAATTGTTTCGGTTATGCCCTACCCTAGCGGCATTGGCTAAATATTGGTCCAATGTTGGTTATATTCGTAGACATAATATATCTAGACCGAGCATTTGCCTTCACTTGAGCTATTTCGTTCTCTCTCGGTCGTATGCGAAAATCTTTTGCCGAAAAATCTATCGCGACATAATAATTAAAATACCTAACTGGATATTAAAAGTTCACCGCGCCTAAGAATTGTACCTTGTAATTTTGGTGTTGTAAACTGTTTTAACATAAATTCTATATTTGTATGTTTCAGAGTCTGAAATTCAGACATACAACTCCGCTGTTGCGCATCGGGTCGGTAAGTAAGAAATTTTTTCTACTCTAACAAGGAATGATTTAATATATTGAAATATTATATTTATTAAATGTAAAAAATATACTGTAAACCAATAAATAGGGCTCCTAAGTCGCGGCCCTTTACATATAAAATAATCAACTATTATACATGTAACCGCGTCGGTAATACAGACGGGTTTTATAGGATCCACTTAAGAAATTTTACTATACAATATCTTTACAATATCACGTCTGCATAATACTACGAATTAGTTTTATACAACTCGAACTAATTAACAAGGTTCGTGCTATTATTGTGGAATTCATTTGTTAAAAGTGCAAACGGTATCGATGTTTGGTAAATTATCGACGTTGCGAGATATAAAGTTCGCGATGTTCGCATTTAGATGGCACTACTAGAAGCAAATTGGTGGAGGACACGATTTTGTAGAAAATAACAATGTGATAGCAACAATTCGAAAAAAATACGTTCGCAATTAAAAGTTGGTTAAAAAATTGATACAACTTTTTCCTGCCTCGTCAATATTCCTATACAACGACTGATAATAATGACTATAGAGTAATTTTTAATAAACTTGAGTTATTATTAAAATACGTAAAAAGTTTAACTTAATATTCTTCTTTATTACATTATGTGCCAAGATTTGCTACCTCACAAGAGGTTTCAATCAAAATCCAATTACGTACCACTTGTGCTAAAACTTAATGATTATTTTCTGCAAAGTCCACTATCTATTATGGAACACGCGTCTCTTCGTAATGAAATAGAAAGCAAAATTCGCTTATTTCCAACGAAACTTCTTATTTGCGATATGCGAGACGCACGGTTTACACCGTGTGTGCAATCTTTTCGTAATCGTGCACGGACGTCTGCACAAATCGTCAATGTTTGGGTCGACAACGAATGGACTTGGCGTACGACCAAATCGATTGAAGATCGCCGTTGAATATCTACCGGTTCCGCGCAATATCTCGCGGGAGTCCGCCGCGTCGATCGCTACGCCTTTCTGCCGGCACGAACAGTGCCGAGTCACGTGATCGAATCTACTGCAATGACATTCAGTTTGGGGCCGTGGGTGCGGGACGTGGGTTATTAAGCGAGACCTGTTATTAAAGTCCCTCTCTCGGCTCGCCCTGCCGTAGCTGTGGGTCGCCCTTCCTCCCGCTCCCGACCTCAACTCGCCCTCCCCCCTCTCCCCCCGCGTATCTTTCCACGCCGTGCCCTCGCCAGAACCACCTTCGGAGCCGGAGGAGCGGCTTTGTTGATTTAAGGCGATAATACGGGGCTGCAAGAGATTTTACATGAAAAAAAAAAGGAGCGAAAGCACAAGACCGCGGCGTGCTTATAATTACAGATTCGCATTGTCCCGGAACCCCCTTAAACCCTCCTTAACCATCGCTGCCTGTCAGTCTCGTCCCCCCCTCCCCCGCCCTTTTCCCCCCATCAACTCGGAAATGATTCTGTAACGTAAGGGCGCGAACGCCGCGCGTCGCGAGGTGATCGTTATA